TTAAGTTGTATGAGTTCTTTATTTTGTCTTTTTATTTTTTAATTTAGTTTAATTTTTTAAAAAAGATTTTATTTATTTATTTGACAGAGAGAGAGCACAAGCAGGGGGGCAGCAGAGGGAGAAGCAGGCTCCTTGCTGAGCAGGGAGCTCAATGCGGGGCTCGATCCCAGGACCCCAGGATCATGACCTGAGCCAAAGGCAGACACTTAACCGACTGAGCCACACAGGCACCCCTATATTTTGTCTTTTTTAAAAAATTGTTGGGGCACCTGGGTGGCTCAGCTGGTTAAGTATCTGCCTTCGGCTCAGGTCATGATCCTGGGGTCCTGGGATCGAGCCCCGCGTCAGGCTCCCTGCTTAGAGAGGAGTCTGCTTCTCCCTCCCCCACTGCTCGTTCTCTCTCTCTCTCAAATAAATAAATAAAATATTAAAAAAAAATTTTTTTTTAAGTAGGGTCCACACCCAGCACGGGGCCTAAACTCACAACCCTGAGATCAAGACCTGAGCTGAGATCAACAGTCAGACACTAAACTGACTTGAGCCACCCAGGCACCCTGAGTTCTTCATATATTTTGGATATTAACCTCTTATCTGATAGTTTACAGATATTTTCTCCCATTCTATAGGTACAGAGTTGGGGGTGAGGTGGGCAAGGAAGGAGATGAATAAAGCAACTATCAAAAAGGGATTTGGGGGGTGCCTGGGTGGCTCAGTCGTTAAGCTTCTGCCTTCGGCTCGGGTCATGATCCCAGGGTCCTGGGGTTGAGCCCCACATCGGGCTCCCTGCTTGGTGGGGGGGCCTGCTTCTCCCTCTCCCACTCCCCCCTGCTTGTGTTCCCTCTCTCGCTGGGTGTCTCTCTGTCAAATAAATAAGTAAAATCTTAAAAAAAAAAAAAAGGGATTTGGACTGAACAATGAGAGTAACATGGTTATCAAAAGTGGAAGAAGGTGAAAATAAGAAATATTGGGGATGGCAGTAGAAAGTAACAGAAAAATAAATCTTTTTAAAAGATATTTTTTATTGGGCGCCTGGGTGGCTCAGTTGGTTAAGCGACTGCCTTCGGCTCAGGTCATGATCCTGGAGTCCCGGGATCGAGTCCCACATCGGGCTCCCTGCTCAGCAGGGAGTCTGCTTCTCCCTCTGACCCTCTTCCCTCTTGTGCTCTCTATCTCTCATTCTCTCTCTCTCAAATAAATAAATAAATAAAATCTCTAAAAAAAAAAAAAGATATTTTTTATTTTGAGAGTGAGCATGGGGGATGGGGTGGGGTGGGTGAGGGTCAGAGGAAGAGGGGAGAAGCAGACTCCCCGCTGAGTGCAGAGGCCAACACAGGGCTTGATCCCAGGACCCTGAGCTGAAATCAAGATTTGGAGGCTCAACCAAGTCACCCAGGTGCCCCAAAATAATTTGTTTTGAACTGTAGTCAGAACAGACGAAAATGTACTGAAGTTAGAGGGAATGGGGGCAATGAGGAGATAATACTGAAGAGGAAAGATCTATATTTTAGAATGATTTGTGACTTTTTAACTAGAGACAGCAGGAACTAAAGGAAAAACTAAACAAACAGGGTTAGATGAGTCTGAAAGATTAGGTAGACGACATAGATTTCATTACAAGAGGTACAAAATGGCTTTAAATGATCAGGGAAATTCAGAAAAGGTCATTTTAAGGCAAAAGATTAAGTTCTACTTTAGAGAGCAAGTACTAAATGTACAGAAGTTAGGCCATGATATTACATATGATGAAAATATAAACAGGTTTAAATAAAGATAAATTTTATGAGAACAGTCTGAAAAGGTTTTTAAATGAAGTTAGGAACGCTGGAATACAACTTCCTCCTGAGGCTGATAGTAGGGAAGACAGCATTATGTTATTCTGTATCATGTCCTTTGTTAGTGCTACCTAAGCGGGAATTCGAAACTTGAGAGGATATTCAGTCTGATTCAGCATGGTGTTTCTATGTTTCCGGTGTTCCTAATGCTTTTCAACCTGGATAGCTAGCAAAACTTTCAACCACCCTCTCTCACCTTGCTCATGAATGGCCTGGAATTCTAGATATTTCATGGGCTGGAGTAGTTGGTGGCTTCTATGCTGCTCGTCTGCTCTGAACGTACTCCCATTCCACATGTCCTGGCAGCAGCCTGGAAACAATTAAGACATGGTCGGGTTTGCGAAAGACTCAGTGAGTGAACCGGAGTTATTATCTTAGAAGGACGCCTTAGGGGACAATTCTCAGGGCATAGAATAGAGAAAAAATGGACACACAGTGTATTCTGCCTTCAAGAAGTAAGAAACTAGAAAGCGTGAGAGAATGAGAAAGGCCGACACTAATACTTCCAGCCTGGCTGAGGGCAGCCTGAAGCTCTGCAACCTCGCTCCCGCGGTTGTAGAGATGCTTCTCTCCCTCATTTAATGTTAGCTCATTTAATCACACCTGCTGTCCTGTTTCATCAAGCGCTCTCTCCAAACCGCCCCGCAGGACCGCTGCCTCCGCTGTTCTTTGGCCGATCCGCTAACATTGAGACCTGGAGCTCCTGGGCAGGATGATTGGGATCTGCTCCTTGGTGCGGCATCAGCCACTGACCCAAAGTTCCTAGAGTTGGTTCAGATCCTCCCAGGGCCCAGGTGTCTCCTGGCAACAAAACTGCCTGATGTTATGACTAGCGGCTACCTCCTGGTTGTTGGGCGTTCTTTCCTGCACAACCCACATTCTTAGCTCCAAGGGTAGTCCTCCTGCCCCTTTGAGATTTAACAGCCAAGGCTGCCTCCATTACGGGCTCTAACCGCTTCAATAAACTTACTTCACAGGTTTCTGCTTCAAGGAGACTGTCTCTGGGGGTGAATTTTTTTGGCTACTCCTAAGGCAAAACAAATCATTAACTTACAGAAATGCAAAAGGGTGCTGAAAACTGCTGAGGTTAAAGCTGACTAGTTATCTTGCAACTCTCTGAACGAGGGGCACCTGGGTGGCTCAGTCAGTTCAGTGTCTCCCTCTTGGTTTTGGCTCAGGTCATGATCTCGGGCGGTAAGGGCCCAGCGCTCAGCGTGGAGTCCGCTTGAGATTCTCATGCCCGCCCCTCCAGGCCCCCCCAAATAAATAAAATCTTAAAAACAACAACAACGACACCTCACTGAGAGATTAATTCCAAGGGAAAACGACAATCCTGGTGAATTCAGTCATGTGTGATGGAAAGCACAAACTAGGCCAGTCAAAATTTGTAACACAGAAAGAATCGAAGCTTGACTACAAATGGAAGGAAATGAAAATACCAGACCAAACTTGCTGGTGTTTTGCAGCACAAGCAAATCTACAGGTAAGACTTCTGATCCTGACCAGAAAATGGGCACCCTGTGCGCAGACGCTCCCCCACATGAAGAGTTGCGTGTGGTCTTTCACCTTCTGAAAGGCGAACGACGTGTGAACCATGTCCCCCACTTTAGTGGTGCACGAGTGTCGTCTGTTTTGGTGTCATGTCACGTGGTGATTCTGTCAGGGACATAATCAAGGTTAAGGATTAGGCACGAGGCCGGGAACAGCACGTGTCTGAATCCTGCTTCCAGCACTTGCTGTTCATGCATTCTGAGCAGGACACTCCCAGCTCTGTTTTCTCAACCACAGAAGGGAACACATGAACAGCACTTGTAACAGCCACGACATAGGCTGCATTAGCAGAGGACACATGCAACAGGAAACTGCGTTCAGTACCCGCACAACACCCACACCCACACATCAGGTTACTTAGATGCTATCAAGACATTTTTAGTTCAAGGATTGAAAAGCAAATGCTAAGGCATTTTAAATAAAGCCTGTTGGTGGAAGATTTTGTACGTTGGATTGTGGTAATTCTACACTGGGGGTTGTTTGCTAGTTTTCAGATAAAGACATTATATATACAATGGGATTTTAAGCCTTATATAGTTGCTTTTATTTTCACATTAGGGAAAACGTGCCTATCAAACAGGAAAACAGTAGAGCAGGATTTGCCTTTATATCCTGAAATCACTGGTGGAGTTCCTACTTGTTGGATTCCTCTCTCCATTCTTCTCTTGGATACCAACCCTCTCAACACTGTCTTTTCTGGAAAGAAGAGCAGCCAGCAGTAATGAAAGTTTCAGGACCTTTACCTTTAGTGCTAATTCCCTCAGCCCTCTTCCACAATTGTCAGTAGCCAGAGAAACCTGTTTCTGTCCAGAGAGCTCCCCAGAACTGCAGTCTCTTGTCTACTCACCCCATGGAAGTGCCAAAACCCAGGCATATGTGGCAGTTAAGATCGAAGTTATGTTACCGTTTGTCTCCTCCAAATCCGAGGTTGAATTCAATGTGACTACCTTCCCTTACCTCTAACCCCAACTCCTGCCTAATTTACTTCTCTCCTGTCCTGTTTGAGTCTCTCTGGATTCTGGCCTCTTGCCTTGGATGCTCCCTTGGTTTACCTCCTGGCATGACCTCTGGACACAGACTTTGGTTTACATATTGGAATGCCACTGTGTGCAGGTCCTCTCGTTTGACATGACTTTCTAATTTAGTTTTGTTGTGCCTTCATTTAAAGTAATGTTCTGAAAGCTCTGTTGTGTATTGCTCAAACTACTCCACTTCAAGGCTTAGCCTACTTCCTCTTGAGGAGAATCATTAACTAGTGTTGACGATCAGCTTTACTGAATCTTCTCCCCTCCACACTGTAATCATGGTTACTTCCCAAGACAGTCCTTTTCCCCTCTAACTCCATTGCCATAGACGAGCCTATTTATTAGCCTCCTCTGAATTCTGCTCTTGTGGCTTGACTTCAGCAGTCAATAGTAGAGAGGAAAATCCTGTCCCATAGAAAGCATCCCCTCTCCCCCATAGGTGAAGACCATAAGCAGAACAGTAAGCCAGAGAACGAGAGAAAAGAGACATTGGTCTTTCAGTCATTCATCTCACTCCATATTTTTTATTCAGTATTTTTCATGTTGCTATTTCTTTCGCATTTCCATAAAAATTTAAGTTCTTTACATTAACAGGTTTTCCCTCTTGTGAATTCTTTGGTGTTGACGAAGGTGTGAACTCTGACTGAAGGCTCTCCCACACTCACTGCATTCATACGGTTTCTCTCCAGTGTGGATTCTCAGGTGTCGAATGAGGTGTGAGCTCACTCTGAAGGTTTTCCCACATTCTCTACATTCATACGGTTTCTCTCTGGTGTGAATTCTCTGATGCAGGATGAGATGTGAGTTCAGGCTGAATGCTCTCCCACATTCTTTGCACTCAAAGGGTCTTTCCCCAGTGTGAATTCTCTGGTGTCTAATAAGATCTGAGCTCCCCCCAAAGCCTTTCCCACATTCATTACATTCATAGGGCCTCTCTCCAGTGTGGATTCTCTGATGCCTGATTAGCTTTGAGCTGTGTCTGAAAGCTTTCCCACACTCATTACACTGGTGGGTTTTCTCCCCACTAAAAATTGCTGCATGTTTAATAAGATTTGGGCTCTTGAGAGATGTTCCATATTGGTGAATTTTTTCTCCGGCATGAATTCTTTGATGCTTAATAAGATCTGGATTCCATTTGAAACTTTGGTCATAGGTACTGTGTTTACAAGATTTCTGGTGTGTCAGTTCACTTGAATTCAGGTTTAAGCTTCTCTCACAACCATCATGGCTAATGTCACCTGTCAGTGTATTTTTGTGGGTAAGGATTTTACTAAAACCTCCATCCGGAGCAGATGATGGTTTCTGAAACCCTCCTGATTCTTTTTCCCATTGCCTCTTTAACCTGCCTGCAGACTTACAGATGTCTTGAGGTTCAGCAGATCCTTCTGACATGAATCCTGAAATTCTTCTTGACAGAATCCTCTGTGATTCCATTTCTTCATAAATGTCCAACTTTGGCATGGATCCATTGTTTTCACTCTCATTATCTAAAAGAATGAAAAGACAAACTGGTAAATATCTGTTTGCTGAGTTGGAAGAAAAAAAAATTTTGAGATATACACAAGACAGTTACATATTGGTACTTCAATTGGCTACTCTAAAAATGTGGCCTTTCAAGTGAAAGGTGTGATGGACAAGGACACAAAAGAGAAAAATTGGTAAAAGCAAGTAGAATGCCTGTGGAGGGGAAAACCTTCAACCATCTATCTACCCACCCATTTCTTCATCGTCCATGGCTAATCAAGTTCTATAAGCACTTTCTGCTAAATGTACCCTGAACACATCCCCTTCTTTGCATTCTGCTATCACTATCCTTGTCACTCTTCCTATCTAGGGGACTGTCACAGCCTCCCACTGTTTTGACTCTGAGCTGTTCTTCCTAGTCATCCTGAATACCCTCACCAGACTGTCTTTAAAATCCTGTCCCTTCCTATACCCTACTCAGAAACCTTCCCTCTCTTTTCTTCCACAACACACCTGAACTCCTCCGCCTGGTTTCCAGAATCCATTTATGATTAAGTCCTCACAATTCCTGCCTTCTGGCTCACAAATTTATACAATACTTATGACTCTATATTGTGCTTCAATCAAGCAACCCTTCTTTTGGTAGGGTTTCCTTTGTCTAGAATATGCTAAGGCAGGAAAGGTGGTTAGGCCATGCTGGTCTTAGGCTGGGGGAAATACATGATTTTGGATGGACTAGATGGAATGTCTCCAGAACAAACTGGAAAGCAGAATTTGGGTATTTTTTAAAAAACTGACTAATTTATTTATCTACCTATTTATTTACTTATATATTTTTTAAAGATCATCATTTTGTTGTTTTTTTTTAGATTATTTGTTTATTTATTAGAGAGACAGAGAGGAGCAGAGGGAGAGGGAGAAGCAGACTCCCTGCTGAGCAAGGGAGCCTTACCTGGGGCTTGACCTCAGGACCCTGAGATCATGACCTGAGCTGAAGGCAGATGCTTAACCAACTGAGCCACCCAGGTGCCCCCAAAACTGACTGTAATTATTCTTGAGTTTATTTTTGAGATCATTCACACCTAAAGTAATATTGAGTCCGTGAACTTTTTAAACAGAGGAGTTTTAGAACAGTGATGAGTATTCCATGGAGGTAGTCACCAGAAGTATGCTGACTTCCTATAAAAACATGAAAGCTTTCTAAGACCAAAAATACAATAAAAGAGACAATAATGTGGATCTTGTTCTATGTATCTGTGAATTATATTACACTTCCGAGTATATCATTATGTATCTGCTTCTCTACTAAAATGTGTTGTTTCTCCTGATGTGTTTCTTCCTCTTTTTCTTTTGTTTCTTTACTTATTCCCTGACGTTTTCTCACGCATTTATTTTTCTTTCCTTTAATTTACTCATAAAAATATCCTGCGTTTTGGAAATATTCTGGATGAAGAAATGGGAAAATGTAAATATTCTGGTAAAGGAACCAAATTCTCTCTCTGTTTTTGTTTTAATTGGTCAATGACACATAGGGAAAAAGTTCTGTACTTTTCATGGGGTGATAAAGGAAAGGACCACCTATGGTAACTGAGGTTACTCTGAGAAGGGACATTCACAGTCCCATTCCTTCAGTGACATGAATTGCATGCAATACTGCCTCTTACCACCGTCCAGAAGAAGGGGTGCTGAAGAACCATAAAGGGTCTTGGGGTCCACTGGCTGCAACTGGACACTAAGTGCTGGTCCAGAAGGTACCACCTTTCTCCTGAATATCTCTTGTCCATGTGCATGGACTGGAACCTGAGAAAAATAAAGTACATTTGGGCTTGTGAGAGAATCCCTGCTGGGTATTTGAACATCTTCCAAAAACAAAGAGAACCTCCTGTAGGAATACAAAACTGCAGAAGGATTAAGTCTGACTTAAATGTAAAATGTGGCACAGCACCAAATGTGGTGGAAAGGAGACAGAAAGGCACACTGATCTAACAGCCCCTGCAGGTCTCCCCAGGCGTTCAATCTCAGGCCCTTTCCTCCCACTGTGGGACTCCATCCATGTGGAGGTCTTAGATCTCCCATCCCTCGAGTACCTGGACTACTGTTTCATCAGTGCCTCTCTCCAAATCTTCCAGTAGGGTAACCACCTCCTCTCCACTCTCTGGGTCATGTTCCCGCACCCAGGCCTGCAGCTCCTCGGGCAGGATGGTCAGGAACTGCTCCAGCACCAGCAGCTCCAGGATCTGCTCCTTGCTGTGGGTCTCGGGCTGTAGCCACTGATGGCAGAGCTCCCGGAGCCGGCTTAGCGCCTCTCGGGGTCCAGGGGAATCCTGGTAGCAGAACTGCCTGAAAAGCTGCCGGCAGAGCTCCTGCCTGAGGGGATCGCTTCTCTGGAGGCAAGTGTCCTGCCTCCAGACAAAATCTTCCTCCTCTATCTTCACTATCAGAAGTCCTTCATTCTCCTGAAGTTCCTGAGCTGTAGCTTTCTTTGATTCTGTTGTCATTTTTGGATGAAATGTATTACCAGGAAACCCACTTCTGCTTTGTGAACGGTCTTATGTAGTTTCAAGGGCTCTTCTAAGGGATAAAAAATAACTATTACTGTCTATGAAGATGAAAGATCACATCACAGAAATAGTCATTTTCCATTACACAGAAGTGTACTAGGCATTTACTACATGTAAAAGCACTGAAATACTTTGTGGAATACAACTGTCACATAATTTCTACCTCAAAGCAGCTTAAAATTAAAATTTAAAAACAAAATACCTCCTTTTAAGATTCATTTATTTTAGAGAGAGATAGGGCGCATGTGCGTGAGTCGGGGGGAGGGACAGGGGGAGAGGGAGAGAGAGAGATAATCTCCAGCAGACTCCTAGCCCATCTCAGAGCCCAAGGCTGGGCTCAGTCCCATGACCCTGAGATCATGACCTGAGCAGAAATCAAGAGATGGACTCTTAATCAACTGAGCCACCCAGGCACCCATAAAAACAAAATATCTTAAAGTAGAAACAATAAATATAAGATTTATAAATTTAAGGCAATGCTACATGTTAACATACCACATGCAATTAAATTATATGTAAGTCATAAAGACAACAAGCAGCATAGAAAAACAATAAAGTGCTTCACAAAATTGGAGATGCAAAGTCTAGCAGGTTGCAACGATCAGGGAAAACTTAATGAAAAAATTAACTTCTGAAGAAGGGAAAGGATTTGATAGGATGTGGGAGAGAGAAAAATAGGAAATTACAAGCAAGGAAACAGCCCAAACTGGTTAATGGTAGGATCACAGAAGTGGGAAAGGAAAAAGTTCAGTAGGTTTGTATAAGGAAATCACAGAGGCAAAGGCCTTACCAGAGAAAGCCTCAAATGCCAAGATCCTGAATTCAGAGTTTATCTTTTAGGCACTGCGGAGCCAAGGAAAGCTTCTGAGCAGAATGACCTGACAAATACTGTTTGTGGAGATGAACATGTTGTTCATTTCTAGGATGGATGGCAATATGAAAAGAGAAACATAGAGAGGCCATACTTATACAAGTGTGAGGAAAATGCAAGCTTGGAATGATAATTATTAATTCAAAATCTGGACCTAGGATTACTTATAAATCTCTTAAGTAATAAGGGTAACATTTTTTTCTTTTCTTACAAGATTTTTTAAAAAGATTTTATTTATTTATTTGACAGAGAGAGAGAGAGCACAAGCAGGGGGAACAGTAGAGAGAGAGAAGCAGGCTCGATCCCAGGACCCTGGGATCATGACCTGAGCCGAAGGCAGATGCTTAGCCATCTCAGCCACCCAGGCGCCCCTAAAAGGTTTTAGTAATATCTACACCCAATGTGGGGCTGGAACTCACAACCCTGAGATCAAGCATCACCTGTTCCACTAACTGAGCCAGCTGGGTGCCCCAGGGTAACTTTTCCTGAGAGCCAGAGGCTAACAGTTTCAATCAGTGTTAACTAGTTCCTTCTGCAAAGGTCTCAAATAAGTTTCCTGTTATCCCAACAGTTCCTTCTCTACCTCCCTAGTTTTGTGGCTCAGTCCGTATATTGGACGTTAAGTCCTATCATCTCACCAATAAAGTTAAATATAATAAACCAGCACCATGACTTGCTTATCTGTCAACTGTGAGTCTTGTTATTAAATACCAGTTCCTTGAGTCTTAGCACACGGGAATGTTTGGTTTCTGCACTGAAAAACTGAATAACAGGAATTTAGACGTGAAGCCTAGAGTGCAAGAGCAGAATGCAAATGTCAATCTTGCGGGGCCTTCTACTACACATTTCACCAGTTGACTGCTGACTGTTGCACTGACATGTACTTTATTAAGAATCTGAACACAAGCCACGCTCAGGCTAGAAGTCGTACAGTAATGGTTTCCAAGAAAGTCTGAGTTCCCAGCCTATTAATTAATCATGTGGGAACTTTGTTAGAAAGTGGTTCTTGGGATACTGTCTGGGTCAGTATGGGTATACCTGGAAAATCCGTATTCTGATGTACAACCGTAAGGAATTAAATGGTGCTTGAGTTTGTAAAAACAGTTGGGAAAAAAGGACATAAAACCCACGTGGATTAAAAACATTTAAATAACTAAATATGTTTCACATAACACACACTGAAGTGCTGGTAACTGCTGAAGACCGAAGGACTAACCAAGTTGTAGGGTAGCGGTATCAAGTATCCTAACGGTTCGGAGGCAGAGAGCCCGCGCGGGGAGCAAGCGCCGGAGGCGGAGGCGCGGACACTGGGCGCACAGACGGGAACGATCCAAGCGGCGGGGAGGCAGGCTGCGAAGTGCGAGCGGACGGCGGACTGCGGGAGAGCCGCGCTCGCCGGGCACAGCGTTGGGAGTGACGACTCTGCGGAGCTCCTCCGTAACACCCGTGACTACGACACCCATCACTCGGGTTATGCTCAGCTTCGGCTGTGTTTCTTCCTCAGTGACCGTTACTCCAGGAGGTGAAGGGCCATGCACTCCCGTTTCCCGAGTTCTCACACTCGCTGGGCCGGAGGAAAGCCCGAGAGCCTCCCGACGCCGCGGGCACCGACAGGAAGGAGGGATCGAGCCGGGAGGGCGGGCGCTCGGGGCGGGGCAGGCGCCGGGCTGTGCGGGGGAGCGGCCGGGAAGGCCTTCCGCTCCGAAGCACGCCGCAGTCCTGCCCACCGCCGGCCCCGGGACCGTCTCCGCCGCTTCCACCGCGCCCCCGGCACACGGGGACCACCACACATCCACTGTGTCCGGCCGCCCCGCTTTCCCTACGAGAAGGCGGGGACTCCTCCCGCGAAAAGCGGGCGTCGGGGCGGGCTCCCGTGCAGCTCCTCCAGGCAAGAAGCCGCCCAGGCGAGGTCGCCGCAGGGCTCGCCATTCCCGTCACCGACCCCGGCCCGCGGCCCGCCGCCCCAGCTCGGCGCCCCGCCCCACCCGCGGCGGTGACGTAACGCGCGGCGCGGGTAACCATGGAAACCACCGCCCCTCTGGGAGTAAGGCGGCCGCAGTGTCCTCCGAACGCCGAGTCTCAGTTCCACTTTTCCTCGGGATTCCTCCGCGGTCCCGGCTCCAGGGCGCCGCGGGGCTGCTGCAATCCCGAAGTAAAGTCGTAGGGACTAGGTGCTTGGAGGGGACAAAAGGTCGGACGCATGGGTCCCAAACCCGGACTCACCTCTCCTACAGGGTGGTTCCGATCGGACACTTCCGGTGGGGGCACGGTGCTGCACCCTCTCTCAAAGCTTCCGTCCTCGTGGGCTCTGAGCCTGCGCAGAAGGCGGCCTGGCTCTGGACTGCGACTCCCGGAAGTCTTGGCGTCTCTCCCGCGCTCTGCCTCCCGTTTCCCAGGCAGCCTCCGCGGCTCCCGAAGCGTTCGGGGCTCTGGGGTGGGGTCTTTGCCCCCCTGTCTAGCGGGAAACGCGGCGTCGCCTGGACTTCAGTCTGGGGAGTGGGAAGGAAGCCCACGCACCGCGCTCAGACCTCACCCTTGCAAAGCCTTCCTGGGCCTCCGGGAACTCAGGTTTACAAACGTGGCCGGTTATACCCCGGACTCGCGACGGGCTGTGCGTGGCCCGAAACGTGGAGTTTCTTGAATCGGTGGGCCAATGCGTGAGGACTAGAATGTTGGCGGTAACTTACGTTTACTGCTGCTCTTTCAGTACCTCCTCTCGTGTGCGGTGTTACCCAAAATTCAATTGAGTAAGCATGAAGATCTAATCCTATTAATTAGGCCGTAGTAAGTAGAGAGGAGCGCGGAGTGGTACAAAAATCGAAGATTTTTATAGGAAAGAGCGTGGAGCAAGGAAGTTCTTAGCCAAAGGAAAAGCATTGTTTCAAGGCAAGTTGGTGTTCCCTTGGCCGGGGTGGGGGGGTGGAGGGGGCGGGGTGGGGAGGCGAGGGGGGGTGTCTTATAGTGCAGATTATCTCATCTTCTTGGGGGGCGGGGAGAAGGGAATGAAGAGGGCCCATGTGACCTTATTGGTGCTGGCCAGAAAATTCTTGATTGATTTGCTTAAAATTTCACTCCGAAGAGATTGCAACTGTAATTTTGTCCTGGTTTGCTATTCTGGAGGCAAGTAACTCCACCTTGGGCCTGTGGTTTTCTTTTCAACAGAAGTAACCCCTATAATGTGTGTTTATTCTCTTTTTGAAAGAATAGTTCTATTAGATAAGTATGCATGGTCAAGCAATATATGGTTTAATTTTCTTGTTTTCCATCTAAAAGGCATCATGCCATAGGTAATCTTCTGATATTTGCTGTTTTCACTTAACAGTAGGTCACTACGAAAGTTAATTTTCATTACTATATAATAATCCGGTTGTGAATATGGCATTCATTTTCCTAAAGATGGACTGATACACTTTCTTCTGGTTAGGGCAGTAAACCTCTTACATGTTCCCTCCCTCTTACATGTTCCCTCTGCTTCTATCTGTGTTCCGCACAGTCTATTCTTAATAGAGCAGCCAGAAGGATGCTGTTGCAGCATAAGTTCTATCATGCTGCTGAAGGGTAGCAGAACACACCTCCTCAAAATATGCACCTTTGATATATTGATTATTTTGAGCTGTAGGCACTTGAAAAAAAGCAAATGTGGAAAGAGGCTTTTTCTGACTTTCCCTTAGCTGCCTAAAGACAGATCCTCCAGAATAAACTCAATTGTTGTAAATACCCTCCCCAGAAGTTTCATCAACCAGGGAAGATTGGCTCATATCATAGGAAAGAAGTTGACACCACACCCTGACAAACTTGTCACAAATGATCATGATGTAGAAATGGGGTTTGGAGCCCACAGTCAAAAAAGAAATCTTGAGATGTCTTCAGTGGAAAAATGTGGTTTTATTAAAGCACAGGGACAGGACCCGTGGGCAGAAAGAGCTGCACTGGGGTAGTGATGGGTGACTGATTATATGCTATCATGTTTGGGAGGGGGTTGGGGACAGCACAAGCCTCCAAGGTATTTTGGAAGCAAGGTTTCCAGGATCCTGAGGGGGGCTACCTATTGTTAGGAAAAGGTCAT